AACTGAGGTAGAAATGGATTGCAATGATGAACCTTCCCCTAAATATGACAAGCAATCGGAAGTTAAAGCTGAAGCCAGCCAGCCAGAAGTAATGAACGCTATAGTTGATCCTCGCAAGGAAAGAGTACCTCCGATCATCTGCTCGAAACCAGAGGTAACCTGGGAATTCGAAGCTTTTCCAAGCATAGTGTAATTGGATACATTGGTGTCTTGACAAGAGATAAGATTACTATTATTTTTTAATCTGCTACCAACAGAGAACGCGCCGTTACTATCTTTCTGAAGAACAGTGCCTTCAGACCAGAGAAAGATGCTTCCCTTAATTTTTTTTACTTTAGCTTGCTAATTATACATTGTAATTATTCGTTATTGCTTTCATTAAGTTCTTCAATTATTAGGAAGAGAATATAAAGTTTTTCCATCTGTATTTCTGCAGCGCGGAGCTGATTGAGATTTTTACTAATGATTGCTGTGAGCTTAGATATTTGCCTAAAGCCAAAAATGGCCTCTAGTTCTTTAATTACCTTAAAAAATTCTAGAAAATCCAGTAGAATTAAAGTTTTGAGCTTGTCCGATCATATTTGTCCCTGCATTGGGTTTATTTATCTGCCTAGTTTCTGACGCGCTACTATTGACTGAGGGAAAGTTTGGTTCTATGATAGCATTGGCTGCTGACTTTGCAGGTTGAAATTCTTGGGGGCTTTTGCACTTTACTGTTTAATATTTCAGAATATGATTTTTTGGCACTTATGGAATTGCTAATTTTGGGTGTTGGGAACTTTTCACATCCACTATACGAGGCTTGATGAGAATTATTACAGTTGGCACAAACAGGGTTTCAATGAATCTTTTTTGGGAGCATAATGCAGATTTATGTTCTCCGGTGCATTTTACGCAACGGGGGCTAAGAAACAGTTATCGGACGAGTGGTGCCATCGCTGGCAATTATGACACTGGGGAGTTAAATTCGTATTTACATACTTTTATATTTTAACTATGAATAATGACATATGGGTAACATGGTAGATATTTTCAACATTAGGGGTGGGTATTATCTGTACTTGAAAAATTAGCATTATTTGCCTTGTCCTGTTCCTAGTCATCTGAGTAACTTTATGAATTTTATAGCCCTGTTCAGTGAGAATATCAACAATTTCACTCGTTTCCATGTCAATAGGTAAACTTCGTATTACGACCTTAACTGGTCTTACATGCTGTTCATTAATTACGTAGTGCTCAATTTTGCTGTCCCGTCTGGCGTATTCGGCAGAATTTACAAAAACACGCCATTAATTCATCCGTAGAATTTTGCCTTAGATTTATCAGCTAACTGCTTAAGATAAGGGTTAAATTTGCTGCCTTCTGGCGGTTTGACCATAACAGGTGGAACAGATTTTAGCTGGGGGGAATTATTAGTTTGAGCATCAGCGCCATTTGTGTTTTGAGTATCAAGGTTATTTTCAACTGAGTCCAACGGACTAAATTTATTTTTCGTCGTGATGTATTTGGAGGCATTTCGTGAGTTATTATTCTTCCTAATTAGCTTTGCAGTACGGGAGTTTTTGACAAATCCATCACTATCTCTAGTATTACATTCATCTGAGTTATCTGATGATTCAGGCAGTTTACGTTTAGTCTTAACATTAGCAACGTTATCTTCTAGAATTACATTATCATTAATAGTAGCAGGATTAACAGGTTCAGAATTACTAACAGTAGGGTTAACAGTAACAACATTATTGATACATTCAGCAGGGTTTAAGGGGGGGGGTTAGCACACAAACTTACATAAAAATTCCTTTTACCCTTCAGGTGCTCCAATTCCTTTTTCAGGTTCCGTATAGTTCGGCCATCAGGGTAGTATGATTATCTGGATCAGTAACAGCACGAACAGCGTTCTTCAGACTTTTGGTCATCTCAATTTTTCCTTCTGTCTCAAGAATTTGGCCGTGTAGATCAACTACGATCGCTCTATAATCCATGTTTCCAGTCTCCGGAGTAGTCGTTAAATCCATATTCTTTTCCACGTCGTCATATTCAGTAGGCACACTCCAGTCCGAAATCGTCTTGTCCGGCGGTGTAGCGTCGCCGGGCGGCGAAAAATCATAGATCAAGAAGACATGAGCTCGCGAAATAGCAACCTTCACGCACGGTGGCTGAAAGCAGAATCCCCAGTATTTATAAGAAATTTATTCTGGGTCTATAAGAAGAAGTTCATTCTGGGTAAAATCCGTAGATACAGAACAAATCCCAGCTGTATGATGTGTTTCCGTTGCTAAAGGTTTGGCGCTGGACAATTATTTTGTAACAACGAGCCGAGATGTTTCAAATGCGGGAAAAATCATTTGACCTTACACTTTTGATCTCCCAAAAGCGGAAAAATCGATTTGTGTTCATTGTAAACAAAGTCACATTGCCAGTTTAAAGAATTTCGAATTTTATTCTAAATTATGCACAAAACCTACAGAAGCCAATTCCAGAACGAGTTAAAGAAAATGTTAAAAATGCTTCTAAGCAAGGAATCACGTGAAAAGATTCCAGTGAGCGAAGCCATTCCTGTGACTGATTCTTTTACTGGAACTATTCTGACAAAATTTACAGGACTTACCAGCAAATTTCTTAATTTCGCTACTCAATTTAAAAAGTTGAAATCGCAAGAAGAAAAGCAGCAACTTTAGCTGTTTCTTGTGACATGGTTGAAGGACTTGAAATTTAAACTTTCATGATCTAATGTATGATGTAATGCAATTTATCATGATCTAATGTATGTGTATGTAATTTTATGTCATGACTGTTTTACTTTCAGCATCATTAAGGCACAATTACTTGAACCGAGCCGAAACACAGCTAGCAAGTGAGTTAGCTAATCGCGGCATAATAAAGTCATGTCAGGTCATTCGTTACTTTTGCTCTTGAGGTAATTGCCTTACGGAGAGTGTGTGGCCTTGAAAGATTTACTTGTGTTTGAAAATTTGACACTGGCCTTGGAAAGATTTCATATATATTATTATAAGATGAACATCTCAACCTTGCTTTTTTTTTTTCTCTTCACCAGCTAACTTTACAGTTATTTACATTATTTGCCTATGTGATTTTCAGGCTTTTAGATAATTAAACTGTTTTTCTGAATTGCAAGCAAAGTGAAATGAAGGAGTGTTTTCTGTGTCTCTTGAATTTCAGAAGATAGGAATTAACGCTAAAATGTTCTTTGTTACCTTAAATATGATTTTAATATTTATTTTGAAGGAATATTTTTAATCAAATCTTTAAAAACACTTAAAAATAAAATCATATTCTTGTATTTTAGACCTTGTAATTTATTTAAAACACAATTTGTACAAAAATAAATAAAACTAAAAAATGCTCTTAATATTAAGGTAGGTTAGTTGCAGAGCTTAGTGACTTAGTGTGTTGCAAAAGCTTAGTGTCTGTCATATTATTGTATCATGTCTATGAACACACTTCAGTATTTCGTATAATCTTATATTAGAAAAGGCGAAGAGGATAAAATGTGTGTGCCATGGATGCAGTCACCTGATCATTGTTTACATTTACAGAGTGTTAAGTGTTGTCATACTTTTTTATAATCGCTATACTATTTATATTTGGGATGTAAATTGATGAAAGTATCCGAATGAAGAAGATATCTGGATTTGCTCTGGATATCTTTATCTATAAATAGTGTTTTGGTTGGAGATTAAAAAACATTCGATATTATTTGGTTAATATTTTGGCTCTTCTAGCATGTTTATTCACAAAATTTCACGAACTATTAACACACAAAAATACCGACTCAATATTTGAAAACAGAAAATATCAAAATATTAAATTATTTTTTAGTTTGCAGCTATGGATGGCAACGATTTGTAAAGCAATTTAAAATGAAATTTTAAGTTTTTTAAGACTTTCATTTTGGAAAACAGTTTTTGATATGCTTCAAATTGGGAATTTCGAGACTGCAATAAGGGAATTAGTAGGATGTTATTATTATGATCTAATTTTATGATTTGCGTTTTGTGAACTGTTCTTTTGTTAGTTTTAAGGTACTGTTCGGTAAATGAGCTTTAAGGAATGAGTTGCCTACATTGATTAATATTTATTGTTACTTTTATTATTTCGAGCTTTATCAGTGACATCAATATCTTAGTTAATATGATTCAGAAAAGGGAAGAAAAAAACTGTATGTGCCCTGAACGCACTCAGTTGATCAAAGTTTACGTTTGCAATTGTTGTTTTCGAAAATTTGAGTAATCAAAAACAGTTTAGGAGAGACCATCGAGCAGTCAAAATGTGTCCTTCGACGTGTTAACGTCAGCGCTGAGTAGTCAAAACCTTTTAGTTCCTGCCGTGCGCACATCGAGTTAACATCAGTATTAACACATAAGAAACATTATTTGAGACAGATCATATAGACAGATTGGGGACTGAAAACTAGCGTTGGACGTTGGATAGGATACATGTACGTTGGTTGGTGACTTAAAACTAAATCATTTGATTCGTTACGAAATCGGGGACTTAGTACTTTTCTAATAAGATGCGATGTTCAGTATTTGCAAAAAATAATGGTACTGTTCCGTTATACTCCTGTTACGCCTTTTTTGCTCGTTTGTTTATGTGTGTACACACGCGGTACTTTTTCCTGACGCGGAGACTCACGCATATACACACGCAGAGAACGTTTCATGATGCAGGGACACACGCACAGTACTTTTCGTGATGCAGAGACGCACATACACGCACACATGCCTAAATAAGTGGCAGGTGCAGTACCAAAATAATTATCTAAAAATTCATTCATTTTATTATTCTTCACAATGCATCGATTCTCTGAAAATGGCTGAAAAGTTTTATTGAACTGTATGTTTAAACTTTCTGTAAGGAAAAAAAACTACTAATATATTTTTAATTCATTAATTTTATGGTGCAATTCTTTCAGATTAAAAGTAATCTAAGGTCTTTAAAAATATCAGGGACTGATAGCAGCATATCTTTATCTTAGCCTATTCTTCGTCTTCAGTTATACATTCAGAAACATTGTTACATTTCTTTCAAAAAATAATGTTTGATTTCTTTTCTTATAAAATATATGATGCGTGAATATCGCCTGTCTAACTTTAAGTCTGTCCCAGAGCTCCTTTGATGAATCTAAACAATAAGGAGAACTGTTATCCGTTTTCAGATAGATCTTTAAAGATCTTCCATTCGTTGATCCACATCCAGCAAAAAATCCCATATTTATGCATGTGTTCTTATAGCTACTGCACGTCCCACAATCGCCCTCCTTATACGCTTCCCAGGTGTGACAAGCCATAGAATTAAATTTACAGTTTGGCTGTTCCAAGCTGGCTATGAAATATTCGTAGGCTTTTCTATGGCTACAGGCTATATCTCGAGGATCCTTCTCAACTGAAAGAAATAAGCATAACAAGTTAAAAAGAAACATTATAATTAATAATAAAGCATAATAAGTTAAAACGAAACATTATAATTAAATAGTTTAATAGACAGACATCCGTTTTTAATTATTGAATATAACCAAAGGCGGATGGGGTTGATCTAGTCGGCGTAGGCAGCGTGGAAAAATAAGTCGATACCATTTTCAAAGCAGTCGTTTCCCAACGGATTTCACTACATGACATCACAAAGGTGGCGACACATTTATGACTTTGAGTACCGCGAGGAAAGCAGACTTCATCATGGCTGTCAATATTCCCACGTGAAAGTTTTAATTTTGGCGAAGAGTCAGCAACTTGACGATTGATAATCGTTCGCCGAGACACAAGGGTGCCCTGACATAAAGATTCAAAGGCAACCTTATGTACTTCGGCATCATGAAAAAAACAACTCTCATCTAGGACAACCACGTGAAGGAGTTAATTTTGGCGAACAACTGTCTACTTGCATAAAAGTACCAACATCTTTATAACATTTTATGAAACCTTAAGAGTGGCAGGGCATGAAAATTCATTGCTTTTATGCAACAGAATACAGCATTTGATACAAGAATTATAAAAGGAAGAACAGAAGCACAGCCAAATAGTTGGAATATAATCCAGCACCATGTAAAATATTAAACATCGTTAAGAATGGCAAGAATCTGCCAAAACAAAAATTGGTCTCCAGGAATAATTTACTCATCCAGCGACATTGTAATAGTAGCCCTGAATTAAAAAAAAAATGAACAAATACTATTTACATCTTCTTGTTCCTCACAAACATCTTAAAAATATTTCCGAAATTTCCCTGTATGATCGGGGAAGGTTTCGATGCTTACAACTTCTTATGGGGGTTACCCACGCATGAATGCAAGAGGCGAAGAGTTGGAAGATTTGATTAACAGTGAGGACCTAACACTGATTAATTAGGAACCATCAGAACCAACATTTAAAACCATCAGTGGATCCGGAGGTTGCATATAACGCTGATAAACCAATCAATAACAGGAAAAAGCCAGAATTGGACAGTCAATGTCGAAAATCATATAGCAGACCGTAGACTGATTTCATACTAAATCTCTTATCAAATCAACACGAGGACCACCGGAAAATTCTACATCACCCAATCAAGAGCAAAAACATTCATCACAAAAGCAATAAAGAAAGCCAATTAAAATGAAATCCAAAACCTAGACAACGATATTGCTCTGAAACCAAAGCGCATATAGATAATATCGCTACAAAACTCCAAAACACAACCCAAAAATATTGTGAAAGCTTGTTCGAGATTAAAAGCCCAAGCGAAATAAAATGCATCAGCCAGGGAACCACCACATTCAGGTGCGAGAGAAACAAGACTAGAATGTTGAAAATGAAAAAAGCGAGAACTGAGGAAGAAAGAAAAAAAGCCCACGAAAAGATAGAGTTATGTACAAGAGAGAAGTTCATGAAGCCAAACTAAACTGTTGGAGGAAGTACACCACCAAGAAGGAAGAAAAAAAAAAAAAAAAAAAAAAAAAAAAACACCCACGAAATGAGGGGGAAAAAAAAACTACAAAAATGTACAAACAAAGTCTTTCAGCCGTGTCAAACTGACTTCCCAAATTCCATAATAGAAAATGAAACAGAGGAAGATGCAGCAACCCAAAGAATCTAGAAAATAATGGGTTCTGTATTCCTCCATGATTACCCAGATGAAGACTCATCACTCCAGAGTAACAAGAAAAAATAGCTCTCACATAGGAACAAGCAACGGTGTTATCTTCCTTTGGAATTTCAAAAATAATCAAAATCTTAAAAAACGAAAAAGCACATGGTCTTGACGGGATTGACAACCAGCTCTTGAAGACTCTATAACAAAAACATACTCTAAACATACCCTATCCATTGCCAGCCCAATGAATAAATGTCTTCAAACAAGACTTTTCCCAACCTCTTTCAAAATACGCCAGATAGTCCTTTTTAATAACAAAGGCCAAAATGCACCAAATTGAGGTTCCTGCTATAGGAAAAAAGCTTTGGTGAACCGCCTGTATCATATAAAAAAGTCAAATTCAGTAAGCAAGTAACAATTTGGGTTTTCTCCGACTAAGAATATTATAAGGGACAATCAAAGAAGTTTTAGAGTAAAAAAAAAAAAAAAATAAATAAAGTGTAGAATCAGCACTCAGCTTTGTTGCGCTTAGACCTCCAAAAACATATGATTCCTTCTGGTGACCGAAGGTTTTAGGCACACTGAACCACATAAACCGTTCAAGAAACATGTATAAAATATTTCAAGATTATTTCACCAACAGGCGCAGCATAATTATAACAAACACTTGTACAACTGAAAACATACAAGTCAGAAACTGTCTGCAGGGCTTATATCTAAACTTTTGGAACCTGGTGTTTGACAAAATCATAAAGCGCTAATGGCCCCGACACTCGAAATGTATCTTTTCCGAAGTCGGTGCTGCTTTTTTGTCGCTAGTGGCTGCTCCGCAGACAAAATATAAAGAAATGTAATCAGCATACTAGAAATTTTTAATTCTGTGTGCAAACAGCAAAATCAAAATTTCTCAAGAAAAATCCCAAGCCTTAATTATCCACAAATCCTCACAAAAGATAACAAGACTTCCAGATTCAAAATACCAGAAATAAATAAAAAGTAGCAACCCTCAAAATACCTGGGCATCATTATTGTCGAAAAGCATAACTTTACATTATATTAAAAGCAAGAACTCCAAAATGATACTCAGTCTAAAGCAAATGAACGGAACAGAATGGGCGGACGAGCAACCAACTTCAAAATTCATTCACCATATAGTAATCAAAAAGCTTGCCCTATATGGGACAACCATATGGGTAGAACCGATGATAGAAAGAAAGCAAAAATAGCTTCAAGTCAGTGGCCCTTTCTACTAAACTACGCAGGAAGCTACAGAAGAACATCAACTGCAGCCCTTTCCCAAATCTCTAACCGCACACAACTTCTTATACGAGATGAACAAGATTCCACAATAAAAGATTACGCCAACTGTAAAATAATAGCAGCTACAAAACCTAGAGCTAGAATAGGTAAATACGAGTTACTGGCACCCATACGAGCGCCACCCAGGAAAGAAAAGTCATATTAACCATGAAAAAGAAGCAAATAAAAAAATTTCCCAGTTATGCACAGACAGTTCTAGCCGAGAAGAAGGTAAAGGTAGCACAATTAAAATCCACGTAGATCCCAGCTGGTAAATTCAACAAAAGTTCCATTTACGCAATTAAAACAGTGTATTCCAGGTGTAATCAGTAGTGCTCCTGGAAGCAATAAAATACAGAAACGCAAACTCCTTAAAAACATAATACACTCTTTTGCAAAAAAATCGAAGCACCAAGAAGGACTTTTTCGATCGTGACGAAATTTCGCCTGCAAAAACATCTTGATCGAACATGCAAATGATCAAAGTTTCAAGGCAAATGAATAGAAACTGCGATCAAAGCGCGCATTTCTAGTGCGCAATTCGCAAAGTATTAAACCAGTATTAGAGGCGGAAAATTTATCTTTTTTCGTTGCTGCCATTGTATTTCCGTAAAGAAGCAACTAAAGATGCGATTACGACGATATTTGAAGACCTTACAGACAACTAAACGATTTCGAACGTGGTTGCATTGTAGGTTGCGTGAAGGTGGGTGGTCATACCGAGCAATAGGCCGCCACCTGAAACGTACAGATACTGCTGTGCAAAGATGTTGACAGCAATGGTTGCTACAAGGAAATTGCCGACGAAATGAAGGCTTTGAAAGGCGAAGGAGCACAAATGCGAGGCAAGACAGGATGATTGTTCGCCAAGCCCGAACCACCCCAATGGCCCGAACCAACCGTCTATACCTCCCGTGGTACCGTCCATCATCTCACGGCGCTTGTCTGAGGCAGGGTTACATTCACAGAGGCCTTTAAGACGTTTTGCCTTTGACCCCACAACATCGACGGAGTCGTCTGGAGTGGTGACGCAGCCGCTCATCATGGCTGCCATCAGACTGGCATCGTATAGTGTTCAGCGATGAATCGCTATTGAAGCTATTGAAGCAGATGACCACCGTGTTCATGTCTGGAGAGGACGGATCCAGCGGTCTCAATCAGCTTTTGTTTTACAAAGGCATACAGCCATATCCCCCTAGTGTGATGGTGTGGGGCGCTATTTTTTATGACAGCAGATCATCCTTTAGTCATCCTTCGTATATCTTTAACATCTCAACGATATGTTGGTACCATCCTGCGGCCGGTTGCATTACCCTTCATGGCACGCCATCCTGGGGCTATTTTCCAATAAGATAATGCCACGCTACATACCGCTTGCATATCTCTGGTCTGCCTCCGTGCGATTGATACTCTTCCTTGGCCAGCAAGGTCACCAGACCTTTCCCCAATCGAGCATGTCTGGGACACGGTAGGCCGCCAGATTCGGGTACTATAAAATATCGTAGATCTGGAGCGATAACTGATGAATGCCTGACAGAATATGTTGCTGGATGACATTAGGAACCTCTACCACTCCTTGCCTCGACGAGACTAATTCAAGCATGTATTGCCGCCAGGGGCGGTTCGACCAACTTCTAATTTGAACACTCAATGCGTGATTGTGAGCGTGAGCCGTGAACAGGTACTATGACCTTGATTTATTAATCATTTTATTATCTGTGTATGAGCTATACACATATTCAGTTTCATGGAAAACAGCCACTTCCTTCATGGTGCTTCGATTTTTTCTTTCAAGAAAGTGTATATCTTCACAGATAGTCTTTCAGCAACGCACATTATCGCGAACCCCGCACCATAGATCAAAATTAATCCTAGCGATTACAGAAAGAACTTCAACGTCACAAAATCAACAATTCTTTGTCACCTGGTTGAAAGCACATGCAGGGACATAAGATAACGAGGAGGCTAATATCCTAGCCACAGAAATAGCAAGGGGTCAAAATGCACAACACTTATCAGTGCCATGGCCTGGCTTACACTTCAAGAAACTCATAAACAACGAATCTAATGCTGACTGGCTGAACTGATGAGATAACGCTAAACAAGAGAGAAGGACCTATCAACTATTCATAAAAGTAGGCACTGCACCCAGTTCAATAACAAGAGAAATAAGGTAGTTCATATCGGGTCATGGCTCCTTTTCTGCGTATTTTTATGGAAGGAACTTAGCTACATTCAATCGCTGCGTATGTGGAGAGAGAGGCAACCCCGAATACTACTTATTTAAGTGCTCCCTGACAACCGAACATCCAAGAATTACAACTCAGAAAATGAAATATAGCTAGGAATGAGACTTTTAACAACGGAAACCGCGATGAGAACCTTTTGAATTATCGAATTCTAAGACTATTACAGGATCAGTTCTATACAAAAACTAAGAACTTTACGAGAAATTGTAGAAACCTCAAATATTGCACCTAATTGCAACTGAGTAAAAATGCAAACAGACGTGAAGCTCTTTTCCATATCGTAAACGTGCAAGAGACACAAACTGTAAAAGCACGAATGTAAAAAATAATGTTAATTGATTCTTTTCAGATCTGACGAAACATCTGGCCAAGCAGCGCAGAGATCAAATACCTGTCAGAACGGGCAAAGCCTGAGGTATGAAACGGACCAAATGGCAACGCATTGCAAGCAACGCCTGGCGGAGCCTCTTATGGGGCCTGTGGAATGTAGTTATCTGGATAATTAGTGCGACTGGACAATGCTCATATTGCCAGTGGTTAAACAATGAGTATTCACCACGCTCCATTATATCCATATCCAACAATTAAGACTTTGCAACGAGATAACGACGACAAAGAACAGACGTTAAGTTTAATGCGGCTACTATTAATTTAGCTTCGACCTTTTTAGAGGTTAATTAAATCTTATCCTATAAGTTTATTATTTTTTGCTGCATGAAATCTACATTTATGATTAATCTTTCATCTTCTTTCAACCGTCGATATCAGGTAACAAAGAATCATAGCAGGCACCAACGCCTCAGGAATTTTTCCGAATTTCCAATAGTCCCATCCGCCCCTAAAAACAACATACTATTTCTGTCTTTCAAGCAACTTGTGTCATCTAAAGCCCGTTTACATCAGCTGAAATTTGAGCCCATGAACAGTGCGCAGACAACGGAATTAGTTTCATCTGGTGAGGGAATATTTTACTCTTGATATTCTGAGTTATATTATCACCTGGGATGTTTATGTGCTTTATGCAATAAATGCATAAATATTGTTGCGTGCGTAATAGATTGAATGAACAAATCCGATAAAAGGTTAATAAAATTTATTCTTATTATCAAAGGAAATGTAACAGAATGCTGGAATTTTCCTCAGAGATATTCTTACAAGTGTTCAAAATATCACGCAATATAATCAGTAATTTGACTTCAAACTACTAAAAACGTTAAAATACTACACAGTGAAAAGCGTTATCTAAACAGAAAGCTAACTCCGATTTAGCTCAGTTCGCGCGAAATTACAGCTCACAGTAACTGACCTGAGATATTCTCTCTCTGGCTTTTATAGCTTTCAATCGGTGGCGAGAAATTTCTAGTAATTTCTGCTTCTCGAGATTTCTGGAAAACAATAAGAGGATGCAATTACGGTCAGTTTCATTTATTATTTTCAATACAAATTACCGAGATATCCATTTATTGAATGTTAAATGCACGTGCTCCTATATTTTTACTGTAGTAGCTGTTTCTTAAAATTTGTCTCGCGCTGCATTGCAAGGAGAAATACAACAATTTTAATTATAATTCCGCTAAAAATATCTAACTAAATACAAAACTCGTAACAGTATTCAATTTGGTATCAAAAAGTGTAAGTGCCCTTTCTCAGCTTTATTTCAATTTCGTGCGCGCTTCTTGGGCCTAATGTTCAGCTAGCAAAAATGGGTCTTTACAAATAAGCAGCCTTAGTATTCATCAAAAATGACTGCTAAATATTGTAATCTTAACGGCAAACTGACATTTGAATTGAAAAATAAAATACATTTTTAAATGTAAAATTACGTTTTCAATGTCTATAGTTTCTAAATAAAATGATAGCGAAAATTTTAAATGCAATTTTTGCTCATATAAGTATTAAAGGAAGTTTCTCTTTTTGCACAAAAAAAATTGTTGCGTAGGAAAAGTGACGCCACATAAAAATATTGGTTTTCATCTGCTTTCTTGCAGATTCATTAAAAGTTATTGTGTTTTTCAAAAGTAGTATCAACGCAGAACAAGGTCACAAAAGGTTTTACAAAATTATAAAGTATAATACTCGTAGAACTTCTAATTAGACTACAGAAAAGGAGAAGAATCCTGAAATTTTTGTAAATGATTAGCATATTTAATCTACCATTATTCACGCAATGTATTTCGATGCTTCTAAGATCAACAGTTACTTCTAAATCTTTACTTACAAACGTTATACGCGACACCAGAAAGCATTGAAAGGGGACGGTACGTTATTGTCAGGAATCCTAGGCATTAACGGGCATGGTGGAATTTTACACTTATCAGACAGAGGTGTGCCTCACATTCTCCATAGCGATTTAAGTTATCCGTACAAAATGCAGGTGGCCCATCAGTTATCCGAGCGCGAATATGTCTCCCGGAAATAGTTCAGTGCCGACTTTGTCGACGTATTGAACGAGAACGGGGACATTCTTCCCAATGTGATTATGTCGGCTGAGGCACACTTGGAACTGATAGGCCACATTAATAAACAAAACATGCAGTACTGGAGTAATGTGAATCCACGAAAAACTTCCCCATAATGAAAATTTAACGGTTTGATGAGGTTGTTTCCGTTTTCAGGATTATTTGACCCTACGTTTTTGAGGATCATCAAAGAAACGCAGTCACAGTCAGAATGTTACAGAGGCCTACTGATGACTTTGACTGATTGATGAATTAACAGGGAAAGAACGCTGATTTGTCATTAATTTATTTTGAGCAAAATGAGGCAGCTGCGCATAACACACGAGAGGCACAATGGCAACGGCGCACGGTGTTCTTAGGAAAAATTATCTCATATAATTGGAGACATACGAGACATACTGTGGCCAATATCCTCGATCATAGTGCTTGCGATTTTCGTTCGATGGAGATACCTCAAGAACTGAGTGTAATCGCCAAACATCCTAAATTATCGCATCAGTGAAAACGTCAAGGCAATTCTACCTGAAATGGTGGTGAAAATACTGAATGTTTTTGTTCATCGACTCATCAGCACCTCACAAAGGACGGTAGTTATCTCAAAGATGCGAGTTTCAAAAAATAAACGAAACATAAAACATAAAATGGCATTATGTTGTTTCTCAATTACTATTCTCGTCTTTTTCATTCCTTATGCAGTGTTTCTCTAGGACCTACAACAAAATGGTAAATTATTTCTGCCGAAAGAAAAGTTTTGCAGCAATATAGTTTCTTAAGGGCTTTGTAAAACAACATAACAGAGTGATAAATCATAGCCAGGTAATATGAAAGAAAAAATTATTATTTTTGCACGAAACGACATCTTTCTGCTAAAAATTGATAATATGAAGGAGGAAATTTATTATATTTCAAATATTTCAATGCAGTATAGGGAAATTTATAATTATTATGAATTCATCGCTTGCCTTAATAAAAATTAAGAATATTTTACCTGTGGCACTTATGTTTCCTCCCATGTTTTTGAATTTGCGAAGAATGTTATAAAAATTCATGTAACTCAAAATTTCATCTGCTATCTCAGGTGAATTCTGTGACGCTGTTTCACAACCAGGCTGATTTTCCCCTCCATTCGGGTAAAAGTCAACATGACCTATAGGTTCGTTTAGACCATAACCTGAAGAAGAAGATAAAGATACTTAACAAGTTAATCTATATAACAACATTACATTTCAGTTTCTTGCCTGGGAATATTCCTTTCTCGAATACAGACGCACACACATATTTCGAAGAATGAAAGTCCAAACTAGATAGGAGGTTTATAATAAATCAGTCATTTAATAGCATTTAAAAATAAACTGTTACTTAAAGATCAATATTTCTTGAACAATAATACGATCTCGATGGCTACATCCGTGTTTATAATATAACAAAATTTCTTTTACTTTTGATTTATACTTTGTAAGCAGTGAACAATAAAGTAAGATGCATTCAGTAAAAATGATAAAATGTTCTATAACCGTAATGATTTGATATATCTAAAAATATTTGCCATTATCATTTAGCCATTTCGTCCCAGTGGAACACCAAGCGTACGGTAGCGTTCTCATATAAATCCTTCAACAGTTCAGAGAGCCACTACTTAATTCTTTCTTTTTTTATCATAGTTTGACTGAACACAGTTCTCCTCGAAAAACTTTAAGCTCAACAAAATCTGCTAATCATTGAATGAAAGGTCTGGATTGTATAGAGGGTAGATGACGACTTCCTATTATTTAAATTTCCTCAGGACAACTTTGGTAGCATTATTTGTATGGGGTTTCATTATCATCAAGAAGAAGAATTCCATCGGAAACCTTTCCAGGTCTTCCAACGCTAAATCGAATAATAAAGTGTCTCCCATAAGGATAAAAATTGACAGTACTTCTCTTTGCTATAAAGTCGATAAGGAATAGTCTCTCCCAATCAAAGAAGAATGCCACTTCCTTGTATGAGTAGGATTTGGCTTGTATTTTTTAGAAAGAGGAGAAAAAACTGAATGTTTCTAGTTGAACAGGTTGGCACATTATCTCTGGCTCAAAATGGTAATACCATGCCTCATCGCCTGTGTGTGAATATACGTGATAGAGAGTTCGGCGGCAGGTACCGCACAGACATATTCAACCGACATGCTTCTTTTACCTCAGTCAAGTTGTGAGGCACCCACTGGGTGCTTATTTTACAAAACTTCAGTTGGCCCATAACAATCGCATGAACAATTCCAATTCTCCAACAGAAAACCTTTGAGATCTTCTCTATTATCATATGTCGATCTTGCTAAATAAGATCATTCACATCTGACAGTACGGCATCTATGATATATTTTGGTGCACCAAATCGTCTGTAAATCATAATCATAGTACGTCTCTTTTTAAAGCGTTTATACCACACTTTTACCCTTGGAAGTGACATGCGGTGTTTGCCGTGTATCCTTGCCATCCTTCGATGTATTTCAAAACCATTTACCCTTTCTACCATTGTTTATAAAAACGCACTACCACTTGTTCTTCTTTTCTGATGCTTTTTCTTTGAGCTCGCCTGAAGACTAATGACTACACTGACGGTGCACATGGGTGATTCGTCACCTGTGTCCACTTATGTCGATGTTCAACTAGTTTTTCTGTAACATCCTATGCATGCGTGAGATCTTTCCCTCCGGGCTGTAACTAATATGTATAATATTTAGATTGCTGGTTTCCTCCCGACACCCTTGAGTTCGTTTTGTAATCATGTAACCTTTACAGAAAGCAATTTGTTTTCGACAAGTACCTTGTTAAGTTGTATTAATAGTGTAATTATTATCAATACATTAATTAATTTTTTATATTCTATCTTTTATAACATATTTTTATATTGTGTACATAGAGTATCTTTTCTCTTCTAATATTTTAATATGACATGCATGCATATATATTTTCTCACTTTTTGTGCATAACATCAAGATGTATGCCCTCTTATGAAGTGTGCCATCCTTATCTTATATAGTTTTTACAGCCGCGGCAGTGTTATCGGCACTTAAATTCATGCTCAATGTTGCCTCTACTCGCTATTTTTCCGACTTAAAAGCGCCACCTCACTTTGTTCCTTTCTATGATGTACTAGCGTACAACCCACTTTTGGCTCAGTTGCTGCTCTTGCAAAAGTGACAATTTAGCCATATGGCAGCACTGACGTATTAAACTTTGACAGTCTCTGGGAACATGTTCTTCACAAGTAAAGTGAATTAGAACCATCAGCGTGGCATAAATAATTGAGAAGAATTCTCCGAATGGAACAGGCTCCTCGTTGGTGGAGAAAAGAAATTACACTATTCATATAAATCTGGACTTCCCTACTTAACTCAGACATGGCGCAGAAGTACTTGTCTTATGTTTAAAGCAATGTGACAGGTTGGTAAAGAATGTTATTCGTAACAAATTCAAACAAAATTTTAATTTTTAGAAATAAAGGAGGTTCAATGGGTAAAAAATAGGAGCAAAAGTAGGTTTATACGTATGTATATAATAATGCCAGTACTGAGTTACAAAGTGACAAAAATAAAGGTTTATATGTATTTAAATAATAATACCAGTATTGAGTCACATAGTGACAAAAATAAAGAATTCGATTTAATTTATATAGAGATAAGAGACAAAAATAGGTATACATATTTTCTGTATAATGAGCAACCATTCCACGCTAAAGGATAATAGGAAACAACAAGCGACATATCTGGAAGTATTGACGTACATTTCAGCTGTGTTTTTGTTGAATTTCTAGGTGATAATTTTAAATTCCCTAATTTTGAATATGCGGGAATTTATCCTTAAACATTTATTCCCGAAGAAACAAATCTGCTGGTAAAGGGCTTCGGCTATTTTACTGGCCTGTACCTCAGTGCACTCTTAACGTATGGGCCCGCTGAGCATTTGCCGGAGGACCCCACAAGCATAGAGGCTCCCTTCTAATCTGTGCATGGCAGCTGATTGCCATTAATAGATTGAAGGTTGTCACATTGGTTTACCTGAGCGCCCATAATGCTGTTAAGAGCGCATTGCTGAACCTTCCGATCCGTACGTGTGAAAAAATTTCTGATTTACGTGGTACTATACATATCCAAGCGAAATTTACTTATATTGCATGTTAATCCTTTTATCTGTACGGTTTGTCTTGCTGTTGGTTTATCTGGCTTGTTTTCTTCATTTGCTTTTACAAGCATATCACTTCAAACACGATATAACGACTGTTGCATATTCCTACAGACGATACATAAAGTTTTATCTTACAAACGTTTTCAGTTCCTTATCAAAATTTAAATATGGAAAAGCTAATTTATGCTTCACTATTTGGAAACATTTCGAGTCAATTTTAATTATTCACATACATATAAAAAATACGCCAAAAACGTTTTACAAAAACCTTTAACTAAAAATCTTTTTTTTTAAAAATTCTATTTGCGCGTATTTGTAGTTATTATAGTATGGCCTGTATAATGTTATGCTATTATATAATGATTTTTTCGCGCTAAAATAATAGCATTGTGGCATTTCGCAGCTGAAACCCTTTGTATTATTTTAGTTGTCAGTATATTGCTTATTCCGAGTTTTCACTCGTCACATGGTTCACTGGTTATACCAAAATTTTGAAACGATTTAATTTTATCACTTCCAGTTTATGTGTCCTTCACATTGAGGTCATATCTGCTAAGAGATTATGGTTGGAGAATATCAAAAATTTCATTGTTGGGATGTTTGTTGTTAGGATATGGTGAAAAACGTTTCTATGCACATTTTGAGTACGTAATAAAGGAGGACTAAATAAGGATCAAGAAAGTAGACTTAAAAATTCCTCAAAATATGAAATATCATGAACACGGTATTTAACAGAGGAGAATAAAGAGCATACCTTCTAAGCGGTTTCCGGGCGCATTGGTATGGATCACATCAACGAAGCTAGCGTCACCTTTGTCTAGTCTGACGATTTCTTTTACGCCATTGAAGAAAGGACCTGCTGGATCCAAACCTAAAGAGAAAACTCATATATATATATATACGTGTGTGTGTTTGTGTGTGTATTATGATTTAAAATGTGTAGATGAAGACACTGGAATCATTATATATTTATAAAGAGTCGACAGAGGATAAACCTGGTGAAAGTTTCCCCAATGTACTTCGAACTCCCAGTGAATCATCAAATTGGTTTCCGGTGTGTGATTTAACGGCATATTCAAAGTGCTTTGAAAATCATCGAGTATCTGTAAGTTGTTGTTTCTGTTGAGTCAAAATATCAGGTATTTTCAAAATTACATCTTTCATATTTTGCTGCCTTTAACGCCTTTTCTGTCACCCTGCTTTCCCAACCTTTCTTTTGAAGGGGGATATGTAAGATATAACAAAATATGTTAGCCGTTTTAAAAAAATAATTGGCGACCTGAAGATTAACTTTCTAAATTTGGTGATCTCTCCCCCCCCCTGGGTTCATCTTTTCTCATAAGTTCCAGATTTTTCCATGTTACGTAACGTTTTAATGCAGATACCTCTTGTCCAATCAAATTAATTGTAAACCAAAACTCGGATCTGAAATTTTTCCCATTCCCCATTCTTCTTATGAAAAACTGCGATATTCTTCCTTTTTTCTCGTACACTTTCGTGCTGGCAACACGCTACTTTTCCATGCTGCCACTTACTTGCTTAAGATGACGTCGTACTTCAAAATGGAACTTATTGTATTCAAATATAATTAAGAAATATCTTGTCTGAAAAAGGATGATTTAATATACGTAAAAAAATAAAGATTGTGATTCTTCAAGCTCAATTGTGATAAATGCGTGATCATGCTTTTCTACTCAGCCACCTTCAAGCCACTACGGTCTTTTCAGCCATCTACGCACTATCGTAAGCTGTTAAAGTTTCAATGCCTTCATCTACCCATTTTTAAATTATTACACACACACACACACACACACACACACACACACTATATATATATGCATTGAGTGTTCAAATGGTTTCATTAGATCATATGCAATCTCTTCCATTTATACGAGATGTGTTACGTATATGTGTTACGAATTTTGTACATAGCTAATTTGGGTGAAATTATATGTGAAATTGTTGCATTTTTGTGTATAATGCAGCATGAAAAGTGACAGAAATGATGCTCTGCGGGAAAAGTGGGAATACAGGGCAAGTCTGTTTAACATTGAGTAAATGGTTATCTTGCTAATTTAGCAAGATATCGCCAAGGTGGCGACGGATTTGCTACTAAATTTTGGCATCAGAAATAAAGTCCTCAAATTTGGCAAGAAATTGCCAAAAGTCGTCAAACTTGGCGACCATTGGCGACATTTTCGTCCGGTCCCTGTATCACCGTAATAGGAATTGTAATTGAATAAATGTAATTGATCGCTTTATTAGCTGTAACCGTATCTCTTCCTCATATGCCTTCCAGTAATTTTGAGAAGCGTAAAGCACTAGAACTATCTCGGTGGCCGGGTAAAAATTATATAAAACCGGAGAGAACATTATTTTCATCAGAAGATGTTTTGAGTTGTTAGTTCAGAGGAACTTCGGACTGTAAAAAGAACATTTACGTTCTTGCCATCCACTCACGTAGATTAGTTACTACAAATAGTACAATGATTTATCTTCTAACAGTTTATGAACCTTTTGTGGCCTACTTATTTCGTTTTGGTCTACATAACACCTATAATTGCATTTGTGGCTTACCAGCTAGGTACATTAGACCACTATTTGTTTGAATGTCAAATAATCAAAGATCTACATTTTCGGCCCTATAGAACAAACAACGCTCGTGAATTGTTTCAGCAGATTCTCAGCAGTAAATTTCTTCGCCAGAAGCTTCAGGCTGTAATGAAATAACTTATTATAAACAACGACGATCTCAAAGCAGTATAATTTTCATTTTTTATTTAAATTTTTTAGCTATTAATATCATCAATGTATATTATAATAGTAACAGTCACAAAAGTGGCTTGCAATCTTAATTATGATAGTTTTACTTTTGTAATATTGTTTTATTTGTTTATTGTTTATTTATTATTTAGTTAATTATTTTATTAGTTTCATTTTTATTTTTGTAACATTATTCGATTTCATTAAATAATATCTGCAAATTGCTTAACTTTCTCAGAATTTGTTAAGTCTCAGAATCTTAGAACTCATGTCAAAAGTATCCCCTTACAACTTTGCGTTACTTTGTGTAAAATTTTCTATACCAGTGCTTTAATTTGTCAAAAATTTTACAATGTCAAAATCCTTTGTTACATCTACGTTACACCTGTAGCAAAATTTTATACTTAAAAAAAATCTCTTTAAAATGTAACATTCTTTGTAACAATGTAACATTTTTTGTAAAAGGGTAAAAAACTCTCTGTAACATTTGTATCATCAATACATAAAAATTTTGTATCCAAAGAAATTTTTTTAATAAAGCCTCTAAATGAGCAGAAAAAGCTGCAAGTCTGGCTGCTCATTCTGTGATTTTCCTACTGAAAGCTTTATGTTTTAGATGCACTTAGCATTGCTTTGTGTTTAACATTCTTAGTAGTTTGAAGTGTAACTACTTATTGTACTCTGTGATACTGTGATCACTTCTACGAATATTTCTGCGGAATGTTCCAGAACTCTGAAGTGTTTCTTTTGATAAAATAAATTTTATAAATATGTTATCGGACCGTGTGCATTCAATTTATTAACCCATACACACGTAACATATGGAAATAATGAATTGCTACATGATTGGCCTGAGGTGGCAGGCTGATTACTATCGTGAAACCAACCTAGACAGAAGGTTTCCGAAAATATACACACATTCTTAGGAAGTGCAGAAGTAATACTTTATATGTGCCCAAATATGTTTACAATTTTAGAACCATGCTGCCTGAGAAGTGTACCAGTTTGACTGCCACTTAAGGGGTTTGGCTGGATAAACGTTGTCTTCCTCCTTACGAGTATCCTTTTCACGTTGGGTATCCTCTTCACGAGTATCCTCTTCAGGAGTATCCTCTTCGCAACCTCTTCACGTTGTGGTGCATACTACGCAGCATTCACAGTGGGTTCTGCCATTCCCGACAAATGCTTAACTAGCATGTCATAAATCTTTCTGAATTTCTGAGAGCCTGTGATTGTTGTTGAAACTGTTAATACGCTAAAAGTAAGCTCTTTACTTAGCGCTTTTTTAACAAAAGCACTAAATTCCTCATGTAAAACCACAACTACCCTATAGCGTGTTCGCTATGATAGCAATGCTATAGTAATTTTGTAATAAATTTCCACGAAACTACTGTAAGTTGCGATTTCATGCTTATTTATGCTAGATTTTACTTAGCACTTATTTTACTTTTATTTAACAGAGCAGGGTTGTTTCCCTTTAATGTCTCATTGTAATGCATGTTGTTAGCATATCAAATAATTTATGCTGAATGTTTTGAGATAATGGATATGAGCGCTTCCAGATATCTACAAGGTTAGTCCATTACACTGTTTGAAATGCGTGATGTTTATGAGAATATATTTGAGCAAAATTATTTTATTGAATCTTGGGGTAGAAAGCGAACACTTACTTACCCGTAATTCGATAAATTAAAGAATTTTGTCTATCACGAAGCCATTTTCCAGCATATCCGGCTGCATGTGCACCAAGACCGTGGCCAATGATATGTAGAAAGTCTGGATTAAAATTCGAGGCATTCTAAAATGCAATTTAAATTTAATTATCAACTTGCTTATTATGCTTTAATAATATGCGACCGAGAATAACGAAATATTGTTAGTAATGGATTAAGTAATAAAAGATTTTGTTAATGTTTCAAGAATTTGCCCTACAAAAGAAGCAGAAAAAAATTTTTTATCTGAAAAAATCAACAGTTTAAGTATTTTTAATGAAAGTAAAGGTTACAAATATTTAAGTATTAAACGAAGAATCACTATAAATTAATTTATATACTTATACTACATTATTAGAGTACTATTTAACATAAATATTGGTATAAATGTGTTCCAGTTGGACATAAGAATGAACATACAGGTTGCAAAGTCTAGGAGCGACCAGTGGCTAAGGAGATAAGATCACTGATACTAATTTCATGTAGATACATGTGGGGATGGCCACATGATACTGCTGTGTTTCCCTTGAAAATTTGAGTGGCAGGGTGTTTTTTTTTTTTTTTTTTCATTTTCTTTCTTTTTTTTCTTTTAACTTTATCAATGTATCTCCCTAAATATAGCCTTCGCATGCTTTAGTAGAATCAGTGAGCCAACCACCAAATTCTCTAAAAATTTTAATTCATCATTCAAAGCGAAATTTTTAATGCAATAGTATGGGTAATTTCTTTAGGGAAAATTGATTAGATTAGCGCCAACTTTCTCAATGAAGTTCATAGAGATACAATTTATCCTCTTTGCAAGGATTTTCTTTTATTTGTCCCCATACCACAAGCCCATACTACAAGCCCATACTACAAGCCCTATACTACAAGCCCAAGTATTTCGTCTAGAGTTAGAATTCAGGTGAATAGGCTGTCCGCATGCTTGGTATTCATGGCTTTTCTATGTGTAACATGAGAATGAGCCAGTTTTCCTTAGAAAGTCCTCCGCAAAGGCATTCCGTCCCTGTGGCAGATAGTTCTCATGCGCTTTTTTATGTTCAAATAACCTACTCTGACCAATCTTGTTCGCAAAGAGAAGTCAAATCTTATTTAAAATCGTAATTCTAATAAAATTCCTGTTTCATGTAGTAAATCTAACAATACAGTCAAAAGCCGTTAATCCGGACTCGTCGAGACTTCGGCGATTCCGGATTATCGATTTTTCCGGATTATAGATCATCAGTTTAAATCTCGTAAGATGGCATGCAAAAATTCTAAAATTAAAAATATGATACCGTAATTTATGAAATAAAGAACAATTATGATCTAAAGGGTATCAAAATTTACAAAAAAAAAAAAAAAAAAAAAAAAAAGCTTAATATTTATTTGTTTACTTCATTAAGACATTTTTTCAATGTAAGTTGTTTAAGTTGCTTCGTTTTATGTGATAATACTTTCTCTTTAATTCTATAAAACAGGCATAATTCTTGTTCAGTTACAAAGTTCCGTGTTCATGTCCTGTAATTGCTGTGCCGAGAATACCGACTAACTTGTCAATCGAAATTTTTTCGTTTTCACTAACCTCTCTGTCACCCGTCTTCATGTCTTTATCCATTTTTTGCAGCAATTCCACTTTTGTTTGATGGACATCGAAACATACTTTCGTTTTGTAGATCCTTTGGGAGCTCCAGCATCGAAAATTCTATTTGACATAATTGAAAGTTCACGTTTACTTTTATAAAATTGCTCTTAAAGTCTGCAAAAAATAATAAGCCGGATCTAATTCGAAGATTAAGGAACAATCATCAACATTAACTGAAATAGAAAATTAGATAATTTTAGCTTATACCGTCCGTTATACATTAAACGAGCACGCGAAAACGTATTCTGCGCTTGCGTACACGCATATGCGCAGTCTTAAAGGTCTTGGGCGCACGCGTAAATGCCTCTGCGCATGCGTCAACGCGGCGCATGCGCAGAAAGATTTTAGTTTTGAGGTCCGGATTATAGATCATTTCGGATTATGGGTGTCCGAATTAACGACTTTTGACTGTATTAATGATGCGCTTTGCTTCGTATGTCCAAAATACGTTATAACTGAGATCACTTTGTTCAAAGTTTAGAAAATACTTTTAAAAGTTATTTAAGAAAGTTTTTGTTATTTACATTCAGTAAATATTTTACTACGGATTATGTTATAAATTGAAAATACGAAAATATTTAATTGTTATAGTGTAAATATCTCCTCAGTGCATAAATTCTCTCACTAATTTGTGATTAAGCAGCGTTTAAAAGGCAATTACGAGTATAATTTGCATTAATGTGGCTTAATGTGCTTTACACATATGCTTTTGATATTTTTGACATAATATAGAAGTCATTTTGAGAACGATAAACGCCGTCAGAAGTATTGTTTTTTTTTCGCCAATGAAAACTGAAACATCGCAATTTCAGCTTTTCCTTTACTGTTTCTGAAACATAGTATATAGCTTCGTTTACCGATTTGAAGTTTTTCAAAAACTTTAGCAAGTCTGCAAAATGTCTGAATTTTAATCCTGTTTCTCTGTAAAACCTTTCATAAAAACCATTTTCTGCTCGTACATGTCGCAAACTGAAATATAATTATCTCAGTGTTTGTCATTTAAAAATATATGGTTCATAACAAATATATGCTGATCCGCAATATCCAGATCTCGTTTCTAGACTTATAATATTGAATAATTTCAGGATGAGATTTGTACGTTGTTTCGTTATGTAATTAGAAGCATAACATAATATTTCCTTTCGTTTCATACCTAACTGCAGTAAAATTATTGTGAAATGTGAAACAAGAAAATATAATGGTTTAGCTTTCTAGTTTAATTATCATTTTATGAATTTCTCTTTGGCTCTCTTTTCTCTTCAATTCAGCAAATTATCGATTAATTTTAGACACATCACATTCAAAGGTACTTTAGCTGAAAAGAATCCGGGTAAAATATGTTTGTTACGGTATTATGGCCATGGCTTTGTACAGAAAACGAAGAGTTTTCTGACAATAGGAACATGAATTCCTATATTGTACATAATTATGCAGGTTATGGCGATACTATATCTTCATAATAGTAGCTTATAATTTAAACATATGGCCGTTTATGTCGTAGAAAATTTTTCATCACAATGTTTTTATTTGCATACTCAGATTATTTGCGCGTAATTTGAGTGATTTTAGAAGACTGTTATACTAAACCAGGTCTCAGCAACCTATGATCCGCAGGCCACTGAGTGACCCAATTTATAATTTCAAGTGACTCAACTGAGTTTTGAAAATAAAGGATAATATATTATAGAAATTATAGAAAACATAAATATGAAACGAAATTTGAAAAATACATAACAAAAATAAATTGAGAATAAATAATAATAGCATTTTTGTTTATTACAAACTTGCGGTAATGAACGTGCATTTTTACTTTTAAAAAATAAAATTTGTATCATAATTTCAAGGAGAAATCGATAAATGTGGCAACGCTGATCCATAATTCCTTGATAGACATCTGACAGCATTAATGTCGTTATCTCAGTTCTCAGAGTTCACTCTCAGTTGTAGCATTTGTTCAGTAGCGAAAAAAAAAATTGACATTTTGTTCGCATTTGGTTCGGATTATAAATGTGAGCAAATATTTCCACTCATGAAACTTATTTTCAGAACAGGAATAGCTTAAGTACCGAAAACTCAGATGTTTGTGTCCCTCTGAACACGACTAAGTATAAGCCAGATTTGACATCAGAAGTTAAACATCAGAGGAGCCATTGATATCGAACAGAAAAAGTTCGTTAAGTTATGTTTGTTTTTATAATAATTATAATTTTAATTTTTACGTTTAAACTTTAAGATATATTATAATCATTTCTTCAAATGTTTCTTATTATTCATCAAGAAATAATTAAACGAAAACACCACTTGTAGGCATTTTTTTAAAAGCAAGAGAGATTGAAAAATGAGCAATGCCTTCGCTGGGAATAGAACCACGGACCTCTGGAATACGCTCCCAGCATGCAGATGACCACACCACGAAGGTATGCTAGGAAGGCGGGAGGTATGCTAGGAAAGGTCCTTATATACTCCTTATGTCCCTCTTAAAGAGCAACTGGGGATTTCTGTCGCAAAATTTGTCGAGAAATCTCCAAATGTCGCAAAACTTCGCGACCATTTGGCGAGTATTGTGTCTGTATAACTGTAATTGATTTCTATATGTAACTGTAACCGTTGTATAGACATTAGATATTTTTTTGGAAGCAGGAAAAGTTTTTTTTTTTGGAAAAATTAGCAACGCCTCCGCCGGGATTCGAACCGTGGACCTTTGGAATACGCCCCCAGCGTGCAGACCACTACACTACGAAGGCTCTCGCCAAGAAGGCGGGAGAAATACCTTGTATACACCTTTTAAAGGGCGACTGGGTTTATTTAGGGGAACCAACCGCCAAATCCTGGGTGGGGAGATTGATCATCCACCCCCTTTTAGTTCGAGCGCCATTAGAGATATTCGAAATTTTTTGAAAGTAGGCAAGATGAAAAATGAGCAATTGCCTTCGCCGGGAATCGAACCATGGACCTCTGGAATACGCGCTCAGCGTGCAGACCACTACATCACGAAGGCACTTCAAGAAGGCGGGAGAAATAACTTTGTATTGTAAGTAACTTTGTATTATCCGTTTTTGTAGTTTTCAGTGCAGAATTAGATTTCCGTGTCAGCTTCACTGTTTAACATGCCCTTTGCATTGCATTCTGTTCATTCTTAGCAGTTTAAAGTGGAAACTACTGGCCGTGATGTGCTATACGGAAAGAGCTGAGCGAGTACTTTGTGGAAAGTTCTAGTTCTATAAATTGTTTGTTTTTGTGAAAATAAATTTTATTAAGTTATCATCGGTTCTGTGTGCATTCAATCCATTACGAACTCGTACAACAATATTTATCGAACCAAAACGGCAAATGAATGGGGTCGAAATATGATTTTGATGAATCTTTGAGTTGGAGTTCTTTGCCGTTTAGAATAAATGACGACCATTTTGAAAGAGTTGAACATTTCAAAAGAGATAAGTACTCATCCTCTAGAAACAACTTAAGAACTGATAAACAGTTGTTAGAAAGATGAGATAAATGGTAGAGGAGAAACAATACATCTTTAGATCAGTTATGTCGTAATTGCATAAATTAATTTCTAATTTCTAATAAATTAATTTCTAATTTCTTTCTAATAAATTAAATTCTGCTAAAGGATCTACAAAGCGAAAGCATGTTTCGATGTCCATCAAACAAAAGTGGAATTGCTGCAAAAAATGGATAAGGCATATCATTTCTTTCTCTAACCATCCGAAAATCTGTTTATCAATTTCACGCTGCTCTGTGGTGAAGGGAAACGTCGCGACGCGGCAATGAACTGGCAGTTGATCTGTCAGCACTATCTAATTAATCTTCAGGACGGATGTTTTTATTTTATTCGGCTTATAATTCTTCACTAAATGTAGTGTTTCATCTTGATGTACTATTATATAATTTAAATCAATTTCCTCATCATTATAAATATCACGAATACGCATCAGTTTTCTGGTTGCAATTTTCTAATTTTGACTATGTAATGTATGCTTACGCATGCGCGCGTTGAAAGAAAGTTTAATAAAGTAAAACAATAAATATTAAGTTTTTTTTGGTAAATTTTGATACCCTTTATATCATAATTGCTCTTTATTTCCTAAATTAGGTTTCATATTTTTAATTTTTATTTTCTGCATGCATCTAACCACATTTAAAGGGATGATCTATAATCCAGAAAAATCGATAATCCGGAATCGCCGAAGTCCGAACGAGTCCGGATTAAACAATTTTGACTGTATATATATATATATATATATATTAATAGTTTTTTATTCAACGTAGATTGTGCAATTAAAAACAAAAACGCTTTTATTTTTGTAAATCGAAAGATAGAACAGAATTTTTTTTTCAATAAAATTAGGTAAGAAATTGAGTCTTATTTACCTAGAATTATTAACCCTACTCCTATGAACCCATTTTGGCTTCAAATAAGATAAAAAAAGTTAATTTTTATTTATACATACTTTAAAACTAAATTTTACAATTTCTATTTTTATTTTACCGTTCAACAACTAAACGAAGAAATAATTTTGAATTTGCTCGAAATAAAGCGTTTGATTTATTTCTTTTGTTGTAAAATTAAAGTACGGGTTTATTTATTATTGTAATTTAAAATAATAAATCTAACAGCACATTTCTTACGTAAATTTTTCTAAATATTTATGTTTATTTGATTGTATTTGTGATTTTATGTATTTTTCTAGGACTGCGTATTATTTATAGTATTTGCGTAACATATCTTTTATTCTGTAATTTTGTTCTACATAACTGCATGTTAAGTGTTTAATCGAATTTATGGCCATTTATTAAGTTTATAGGTATTTAGTTTGTGTACTGCGGTCTTGTAATTCTGAGCTGATAGATGTTTGCATTGTAAAGATATCTTTGTTAGAGACTGAGATATGAGCAAAACCTTCTTACCAAGTTTTGGCGATACTTGATGGTTTTTAGCTAACTGGCTGAATTCTAGATGTTTCCGGAAAACGTATGTTTGAAGCAATAAGAGCGATTTTCCTGAAACTTCCAGACGTGCTGAGCAATCTTATAAATACAACAGCGCGAGAGCGATGAATCAATCAATTCAGTTATTAAATTCAGCGCTGTGGGACTTTATTGAGCCTCTTCTCCATGATCACTACTAAAAAGTTATTTGTTCTGATTAATTAGAGTGATCAACACTATTGTTCGCACTTTAAGTTATTTATAACTGTTTACATTGTTACGAACTCTTATTTAGTTAAGAAATGTGTCAATTTCTTCCTTTTCATCTGGCATAGATGTGAAGGAGATTTCTACCAACACATAACCCATAATAATACGTGTTGTTGAATTTTTGTATTTACAATTTCCAGTAAATTTATTATTTTGATGAAACACGCAATAAATGTAATAAAGCATGCAAATAAGTTTAAAACAAGCCTAATTTTACGTAGTTCAGAAAGGAGAGCAAACTCTTTGTAAAATAACTTTAAACATTTTGTAAAATACATGAAAGTGAGTTTTTTTTTTTGGATGAAGGATTGCAATAATAAATTTGTTAGATAAAGAATTGGCAGGTAAGTGAATGTAAACTTACCACCAGACGTTGAATGAAAAGTCCAACTTCAGCTCCTACCACTCGTATATTTGCAACAGCCTCTTCGTACCAAGGTCCATCGCCATCTGACCAGTTGACGATAAACACATTGCATGCCGTTTTATTTAACAGTACATCCTTCAATTTCTGCAAAGCAAAGAATTTATTACACGCTATCCGTCACGTGAAAGAAACTAGTTTGCCATAACGGCCACAGTTAGAAATGTTTCTTTACATTTCATGAAGCAGATTAATACTATCAAATTTCGAGAGAATTTTGCTAATTTATTTACAAGAAAATTTTTCTCTATAACATTATATGAAAAGAAATTAAGAAATCGTATACAATTAATTCTCTATCTACGGAGTTAATATCGAAAGGACGACGTGCACGGTTATTTCAAAATCAAAATTAATCGAAGGAGAGTTAAAAAAACAAAAATGGAATAAACCGTATAATAAGTTAAAAGAACAATACTATTAGCAATTTTTCCGTTTTCCAAACAGTTTATTCTCAAAACTAAATTCGTTTGTTGTCCTAAATTGTGTGTCCTAAACAAAAACAGCACGCTATAAGTAACGGATGATTAATGAAACTGCATTTATCTATATTCGAAACAGAATCTCAAGATGTAATTTTGTTTATAATTAATTTTCTGAAATGTTTCGATTGCTCCTCGTCGCTACTATTCGAATTTGTCTAAGTTTGCAACAAATTTCTTCTTCACTGCTACATAAAACTTCAAATACTATTCACTTCAAAATTAATCTTTAATTTTTTAGACATTGCAAAAAACGTTGGAGCAACAATTTTAACCCAAAAAAAAATCTAAATCATTTGTAACTACAGGAAAAATATTTAGGAAAGAGAAATAATTTTCGAATCTCACACCCTTTCTTAGAAACTTCGTTCTTGAGGAAAGATTTTAAACTGAATGCATGTCCCATAACAAAAGTAAAAACCCGTCTGCAACTAGGTTTACTGATTTAATTTTGAAGTAAATATATAGTTGAAACGTAAAATATTTATGTAATATTATGCAGCTATTTGATGTATAATTTCTTTTCAAACAAAAGTAACTCTTCATTTTCTTGCGTTAAATTCGCCAAACTGAGCTAAGGTGATTGCGATAATACGCAACTATTCCCCTCCCCCCCAAAAAAAAACACCACATACGTTCTTTTAGACAGAGCCCTGTGATTCCACAAATCTGTTTATCCGAAGCCGGTTAATCGGGAAATGACTGTACTATAAATGGAAGAATAAGAGCAGGAAGTGCCATTTTATTCGTTAACTTTAACTAATATTGTACTCATAGTTATAGGACTCAGTTGCATTTTTTCGTATTTTGTGAAGATATCTTAAATCTAAAGCGCAATTAAACAAATCAAAGATAGTTTTTCATCTTAAAGATAAGAAGAAAAAGAAAAGTATAATGGAAGTAGCACAAGATTCCTATCACTGCGGCCAAAAGAGGCCATTTGTAAGATATCACATTCCATTTGAAAAATACTATATTGTTCATTATACATTTTCAGTGTTAATGATCTATGTTTTGCTCTTCATTACTCAATTTTTAAAAACAATACTGAGCATAATGCACTGGAAGGTTTATGAATGGCCAAACTGCCAACCTTCGACGGTTCATATTATAATCTGTTATTTAAAAATAGACACTTAAAAATCTTTCTGACCCTCCCTCATTTACAATCGTTACGCGCATTCTCATCACCACACAGTACTTAGTTTCTCCACTTCGTTTCAGACTACAGTTCAAATCAACCTTCGTTCAAGTGCTTTTCATAAAGCGAAACACCTTAAACTGAAATGAAGTGGGAAAAGGATTTGGGTACTTGATCATCTTGAAGTGTCGATTCAAAAGCAACGGGTAATAAGATTTAATATCTCTTTTGAGGTTCATTAAAATGCTTTTTTATACTTTCGCATAATGGTTATATTTTACTGGCAGATCTTAATTAATCTGAACTTCTAAAAAGGAGTATTGAACACCGTAAATAACCAAGTCGCAGTTCACAAAGTCCGGATATGCAGATCTTAATAGAAAATATAAACAAAAAAAAAAAAAAGTTTGGACAAAAATTATTGTATAGTTAAACTAAGCGTTGAGTACATCAATAGATACTGGAAAAGTAATTTTATTTACTCTTTGCCATTTTGAATATCCTGCATTATAGCCATGTATAAGAAAATACGTCCTCCAGCGATGGTAAAATCCACTCCTTTTGACATTCCATGAGGAGAAATTCCTGTTAGAAATGTACTGTGCAGTATTCCTGTGCTTTGAACTAAAAAAATAGAACATTGTGCCAATATCTTCTTTACTGCGTGGTGGTAAGTTATAAAGTCTTTCTAGTGGAGGGTAATTGAAAGGATATTCTGGGCTGAATGTACCCAGCTCTTCCACGTCGACAACACTTTGTTCCCGTTTCTGATGTTGAGCAAACATGGCTAAAATAGATAAACATATATAAATGAAATGTCAAAATATAACTAGGTTTGTGATATTTGGGATTTTAGTTAATTTTTTAAGAATATTAATGCATGCAGGAACTATAAATTACATTTTCTATCTTACTAAATAATAAGTATGGAGTCAATTCGTCAATGCGAATTCTTTTACGAGATTCTAATTCATTAATAGTGGCCTGTCAGTAACAGCGACCAAATTAATTTATTAAAAAATAATTACAATGATATTATTGCAAACTATATATTTTAGAATGTTATTCGTGTATGATCTTTGCACGAAATGAAACTTTCTTTCCATTGCAAACCACATACATTTACAACTAGTTTCTAACTCTCACTCCACGCCAATACCAGCATATATATGCAAAACATAATACCGACTGAATTTGAAAATAAACAATGAGACGTTGCTTTTCCCTCGCCAGCGCGTGATTGGTACCTTAGATATCACCTCACACCACGTGCAAGAGCGTGATTAGCTCTTCAGCAATTACGCCAGTACGTGATCGGTAGAGAATGTGCAGGAAACTGTTTTCTACCTGCTTTTGGCAAATCGTCAGCCAGTTATTTCCGGTAATAACCTTGTTGGCTGGAACGCAACTTAGAACAATACGATTAGAAAAAGGAATTAGCAACATTAGATGGCAAACGGCGTGTATCAATGGGCTTCTGCTACATGTGCCTGATATGCCATGGGGGCTAGATGCCGAGCCACTAAAATTCATGCCATTCGGCACATGTTCGATTTCGTAGCAGATTGGAGCACGCAGGGCAATTAGCTCCGCTTGGAAAACTGAATTGTGGAATAAGAGCCTGCGTGTCAAATTGTGTTGAAGGATGTCATTCTGCAGATGGAAAAGCTACTGCCAGTGCAGTTTCCGATCTTGATTCTGTGCGTGTAGATGGCTTGCTACCTCAGTGTACGGCTAACAATCCATACTCCCATTTTCCTTCAGGGTTCCGTGCGCAGGGTGGCAATGTATATGAGCCTTGCGTTTTTTATAGCTGGGATGTATATCTTAGGTCTAGCCTCAGGAATCGCATATTCTGTCAAGTCTCATGGCAGTCTGATGCAATGGCGGCCTCCCTTTGTACAAGTAGGTTTAAAGGTATTAATCCTGCAAGGACTGGAAACGTTGATTTTGTGTGATACGCTCTGCATAGGTGATTAGATGTGGACACTGTAGAGAACTGAGGTTCTTCCTAATTTGATGGGACAGATTTTTGCCCCACACTGAAGCTCCGCTGGCTCCGCTATTATGATGCGTTACTATCAAATATGATAAGCGAAAGAATCTCGATGGTATTCCACATTTTGTAACGTCTGTACGATGTACTGAACTGTCAAGTTGAAAACGTTTAGCTTAATGTAGCGAATATGCAAAGCCGGATAAAAATCCGTCTTACATGGCTTCATCATATTCTCTACATTAATTAAGATTCATCGAAACATGCATATGGAGCAGTTATTTACTTCAAATCAAATAGCGTTTTTAAAGACATTCAAGTAAATTTACTGAGCACCAAATAGAGAATCGTGCTAATTATATCACTTCCTAGTACTCGCTTAGCGCTACAATATTGTGTATGCAATTACCTTCAAGGGTGCCAAAGCCTTTGAAATCCAACAAGATCTACTTGTATTCGGATTCAGCAATCGTCTTAGCTTGGATAAAAGCCTTGCCGCGTTGGCTGAAGACTTTCTTGCAAATCATGTTATCACAAAAGATGAAATGACCTATTATTATGGCAGGAACCACATTAATTCGGAAAACAATCTGTAGAGACATTAGAAGAGGAGTGAGAGACATGAAAAATGAGCACTACCCTCGCCAGGGCTCGAACCTGGACTTCTCGAATACCCGCCGAGTGTGCTAACCATTACCACGAAGGCATGCTGGAAGGGGCGAGAAAATATCTTATAAGTTGTGCAGATCTCATATCTCGAGGTATATTTCTGCAAATATTCGAAATATTGAATTTTAGTGGAATGGTCCATTTTTTCCAAAGGGAATAATCATTTTCTATAATACTAACTCTGTATGCTTTGAAAGAAGATAAGCCATTTCGTCAGTAGTTAAAAGTGCAAAATGTTCCTTCAATAGCACTGAGCAATACATTAGCGCAGGATACTGAATTTACAAACATGAATTATTCTATGGCAATTAATTATGTACCTTTTCTGTATTTTTTCTCTTTGACATTCATTTTTGTTCATCAAATTTTCTGCCTCTAATGGCTATACTAAACTAAAATATCTATTTTGAGTTTTATTTGGAGGTTCACCCATAACTGTTGAAATCCAAAATTTAAGATTGTTCAGTAGTGATTAAGAGTTGCCGACAGGAGGCGCTGCTAGCGCGTTATACTCTCACCTACGTAATTTGAATGAGCATTTGTTTTCTTTTTGTGTACTTGCGTAACAGATCTTACAGCTTTGTGATTGAGAATTTAAAATGTTTTGGACCAAATCGCTCCTCTACAGCAACAAAATGTTAATATATACATAAAAATAAATATCTTTGTGATGATAATCTTTGTTTTAATACAAAGTCAACCAGCTCCTGATACTACAGTGGTCGTCGAGAATCGAATGTGAGCTCTCCCATTTTAATCTCTTTAATTGAAATTCTGTAATAATATGGAAGCTCTAAAACTAGAAAAGAGTGTTAAAAAGTTCATTGACGGGGCATAAAGATAAAGTTTTTCGTCATTAGATGTTTCAGATTCGTTGCGTTGCAGCTATTTGAAACCAAAACTATGAATTTCTAACGAACTAAATCTGTATTTTATTCAATTTTCGAAACATGTAAACCCGAAGAATTGGATAACTTATTAAGGATAAAGAGATACAGATGATATTGTTGATGAGTTGCTATGATGATTAAACGTAAATTAGTTGTAAAATAAGATGAATTCTGAAACATTCTGTTTCTCCTGTGCCGAGTATAATAATTCAATGTGTTTTCGGATGTAAGTTACGGACGCTATCGGTACCAACATTCAATGGTAAAAAAGAGAATTGGATACGTTTAAAGATATGTTTAAAGCTAGTGTAATAGAAAATAAATCTATTTCTAGTATGCAATGAGATTGCAATATTTAAAAGCTAGTTGTAAGGACGAAGCTTGAGTAATACAGTCTATTTCTATTCGATACAAATTCGATATAGCTTGGAACTTTGAGAAAATAGGTATTCGAATAAACGTGAGCTTTTAAATGCTATAATAAAAAGCTTTTGAATCATCCGAGTATTAGCGAGACATCTAGTTCTATTCTAAGTTTAATTGTGTAACGAACGAATGTATTCGAACTTTAATATTTTAAACTACAAAGTAAAAACTTATCGGAAATAATGATAGTATATTTATAGTGGATAAGTTTGATAAACCAAATCGATACTGGTGGGAAAGAAATTAAAAACTCGGAAAATTCGGTACGATTGAAAATTACTTTCGTTTTTACAAAGCCAAGCGAGAACGCTTCAATACAGTAAAATAAAGGACTAAAAAGATTAATATTCTCCACATAAACTTACGAGTATGATATCCACTTCTAATACGAAAAACATAAATTTTGAAATGCATCAAGTGCCGTGGTGAAGAATTCCATTCATTATATAGTAAGTGCCCAGTATTTATAAATCTTTCTGTCAATAACAGGTGTGAATTCGTGAAAAGAAATAAGTTTTGCTTTAATTGTTTGAAAAACCATTTTGTTCAAAAGTGTTCGTCTAATTATCGATGTCAAAAATGCTCACGAACGCATTCAACACTGTTAAATTTCGAAAATGAAAAACGAAATAAATCCGAAAGTGCTCATATTTCAAAGCCGGAAGTAGGGAAGGGGAGAAGACGACAGTCAGTCTTAATCCGAATGCTGAAAAATTTTTTTATGACTCTTCTACCAATAAAGAAAGTATTTTCTCCGGCACAGCTTAAAACGGAATCGTCAGACCAAAAATGTTTTTACTTTACTGCGAATATTTATATTAAATTTATTAATAATAATTTTGCTCGGTGAATTAATCAGTTCGCGCTTTGGTGTGATGTAGGTTCGATGACGTCTTCTTACGATTGAAGTGCTAATATCGTTAGCATTAAAAGAAAAAATCTGTTGCGGTTCTGGGTTAAATAACACGAATAGTATTAATTCTAAAGTATGTGCTTCTATTTCAAATGGTATTGACTTTGAAAGCTTAGAATTTTTGTGCCTGCCTAAAATCTCGGACTCCATACCAATCAATAATATAGAAGTTCCGACTGAACATTTTCCTCAAAACATTAAGTTTGCTGATCCAAACTTTTATAAAAAGGAAAATTGATGCATTATTAGCGCAGAGGTGTTTTATCAGATCTTAAAATTCGGTCAATTGAAGTACCCAGTTCAGAGCTAAGTTTCAAACCTGTTTTGCTTTATAGCCACTGGTAATATTTTAAGTTCAGATATTAAAATACGCGAATGGTTACTGTGAATTAATTAATAATTATATGATAGAAAATGAAATTAAAAAATTTTGGCAACTTGAGTCTATAGGAATTAATTCCCTGTGAAAATGAGATAGATCGCAATCTTTAGAAACATTTGAAAAACTGTTCGTTTTAAAGGTAACCGGATGAGGTTCAGTTACCATTGAAAAGATTGGGTAGCGCTCAACTAACTTCATGGTTGAAAAACAGACTTAATTTACTTATGCTAGACTTGAAAATATCCAAATCTTCATTTGCAGTATATTGAAACTTTAAAAGACTATGAAAATATATATAGAGAATTAGTGTCCTAAGAACCTGTTGATAAACCTGTGTTCTATTTGCCACATCAACCCGTTTTAGAGAGGAAAGTGCAACTACAAAAATGAGAATAGTAATTTGATGCAAGTTCTAGTCATAACTTTAAGCATTTAAGTCTAAATATGCCTGTGGTCAGGCCAAACCTGAATTCGAACTATTCGACTTCTTGTTATTTCGATTAAACAAATT